CTCTCTCTCCCTTTTCTTCGCGACGTTCCGTAAATTTTTTACCCTCATGCGCCTAAAGAAGTTTCACTTCCACAAAATACCTAAACATAGAAAGATATCGGAGAACGAACACGGAGTATCGTGCCGTTGTCTCGTCTGCCGCATTCTCCTCAATTCAAACATTTTCTATATTCTATTCGTCGCACGTCAAATGAAAAATCTGCTGATGTTACTCATTTTTTTCCTCCGATTTCACAAGCAAATAGTGGCCCAGTTCAGCACGTCAACCGTCACGTTTAATTAAATTCCGTCTCGACTCATTTATTTTACAAAAACGCAGTCAAAATAAAATTATGACGAGTATCAAAAAATATCCGATGAAAACTGCAAAGTTACAAATGCTACATTAAATCGTTTAATATTACTCTACACCCAGCTTTGCCAGCATGGATTTTTTGTATTTTCACAAGATATTTTGCTACCTTTACAAAAACAGAACTATGCTTTGCGGGGTAGAACAAACTGCATGGGCTTCCAGTACTGTTTAGATTTAGACTTTACACTGCATGTGCCTGAAAAGTATTTCAGATCCAGAAGGCATGTCTAAGTGGAGCTCACAAACTGTTCTCCGCTGCAGTCACCAATTCCGCTACTTAACAGTTTCCTCAGTTCTGCACCAGAACTAGATATATTTGTGACAGGTTTGGGAAGACGATTCGTTTTTATTTTAAAATTTGTTAGTAGTTTAAGTTATTAAGGTGGTATTATTATCAGTATTTGGCATTTATGCTGTAAATAAATAAACGTTATATTTAAGTAAATTTATTATTTATTCTCACTACATATCAGTAAGTCAACAACGAATTCTTAATTCTGAATTGTATTCTCAAAGGCAGTAAGTAAATATGACAACATAATTGCAAGACTGACATTCTTTAAGTCCAAATTTATATTAACAAATAGATAATAATAGGGATTTGTATTCTATTTAAGCAGTCTAGTCTAGGCATTATAGCCTCGTATGTAATCCTGCGCAATGCGTTTGTGATCCACTTGGCAGTTGCATTCAGCATTATCTACAATCATAAATCTAATGCATAAATTTGAAATCTATTCCTATTGTTATTGACTCAATACATGTTATAGTAGTTCGCAGCTAAAGTATTTGTGTTTTAACTATCATTTTCCAACTAAATACCTTAGAAATATTAGATAACCCTTATAGAAGCCTAAAGAATAAATCTATGACGCACGTATGATATTAGGAACATGCTTATATGACAATGTAAAGAGTGGGACAATGGTATATTTATAGAGCTGTCCAAATACACGTGTAGGGCGTACAGACAGACGGACAGACATAAATCCTCTACTATGCAACGCTTGGCACTCGCTGCCACTGCATTCTGATCGCTTGATAGCCGCTGTACGGTTAGATTAAAAAGTATATAATAATAATATATCCGCGATATATAAAAACATTCTATAAACAAAATCTTACAAATCACAGATACTTTTATATCTGTAGATATTTTTAATGTCAATTTCGATTGGAAAGCAGTGAAACGGTAAATATATTTTTTTTATCATTTGTTTATAGAGAAGATAGGTATAACTGTGTGGAAATAAATATTACTCGATTTGAAACCACTTGAAAAAAAACATTTCATTTATATGCTTGCGCATAGCTCTCTTCGTCGATCTGAGATCGAAGTGTCTAATTATTCATCAGCAGCGAATCGGTCCCACGGAAATGTTTTTGTAATCAGATGGACTTCTTAATGCATTCTGGATTCGGTTATATATTTTTGTTAACGAATTTATTATTATGATCTAATCATGCCGACTATACTTTTAATCAGTTCATATCGCTTGTCTTATTGGAGCAATGTTTACATGAAAGCTATTATAGTTCGCATTCGAACATTCAGGGAGGGCGCTAGATTTAAAAAAAAACAAAATTTGAATGTTATAATTGTAACTTTGTATGCCAATGAAAATATAGCCAAAATATTTGTGTATTTGTCGCGAATAAACCTTTGTTTATTTATTTTAATTTAAACCGTAAATGCCCAATAATATTTACTTAAATTGTTTAAAGCATCTCGAATTGTTTTTAAATCATAATATATATATGCACTAAAAACTGCTTTAAAACCTACACATATTACAATTTTCACAATAAACTTACTTGTCTCGCCTGAAAACGAATATCACTTCTTATAAACTCCACTTTAAACACAAAAACCTTACACAATAAAGCCGAAGAGAAGCGGTAAATTTTAATGGCGCGCGCGTTCGTTTCCCGCGCAAACGTTAACTGCCGCGTTTGGCTTGACACAATAAAATTAAGCATCCAAAAGGCGACTCAGCTTTGCATTTAATTTCGTAATATCTAAACGGATCCCGAATTGCGGGACATTTCTTAAGAGTTAATTTGGCAACAGTGGAATGCCAAATGGTTTTAATGGCATGAGACTGTTTATTTCTCGCTTTTCATGATGATGCCAACAATACATTTGTTTTCAGTCAATCTTAAAAAAGTAAATAAAATAAGTACTATTTTAGTTTTCTGGGTGTTAGTTAAATGCAAGACGGGCTTTTCTTTTGCTAGTTGCATAATTACCTAGATACGTCGCTCCTAGCTATCCCATTTCATATTTTAATCAAATCTATGGTAGGTACTGTATTTTACAGTAATATATTATTTCTAATTATAATAAAAAATAGGATATCTTTTATTTGTTGTGTTATTTGTCAGACTTGTAGTCGTCTTTTATTTTTTTAAACTTAAAGGAAAGTATGTATAGGTAAGTCAGCTACGCTACTACTTCCAAAGTCATACCTGTAAACTCCCATAGCCAAATAGACGTATTTACTATTTAGTCACGCCATATACAAGTAATACACTAATGCTTATAATGATATTACTAAAAACTTACTTTACCTTGCACAAAACCTTAAACAACCAAAAATAAATCTGAAACGTTGATATCTCCACAAAGATACACTAACTTAATTTTTCATTTATCAAAATGAAATACGGATACAATGATTACCAGAATATCCCTTTCGATCTTTAAATAGATCGCATATTTACGTGATGAGCAACATTATCGAAATTAAGATTGAACGAATGTTCCCTATTTGAGGCAGTTGACTAATCATTAAAATACATATAAAGGGGAACATGCAAGAACTCAATTTCATAGGCGTTTGACGTAGGTATTTAAACTTATAGTTTATTTCTGTTAAATTTTCATTATAATTATATGCGGATTAAAGTGCCGGTGTATGTGTGAAGCATACATAAATAATATATTTGACAAAATTAAAATACCGAAGAGAAAAATCTAATAAACTGGATACATGTGCATTGATAACATATTATATGTTCCAGATGACATCTAGAAATATTTAGTTTTTTATTTATTTATTTTTTATTATTTGCCGGTATCTGTATAACCAATTAGACTTCTTAACGCAGGCTTACTGCTGCCAAATATTGTATCTAATGGTGGCTGTACACACTCGGCGAGAGCCTCTCGCCGAGAGTCTCGACCGAGAGACCGAGAGAAGAGCGCAGCCTGTACACACTCGTTACGTTATTTGTATTTAAAACACCGTTAATAATGGACGTGGAAACCGCTGCTGCTGTTTGTCTTTGTGCAATAAGTTATTATAATTTTCTTCACGTTTACCATAAAAAAAAATTACGAAGCCATGGCGAAGAAGAAGATGGTGGATGGTTACTATGCACCGCAACAGAAATAGGTAATTAGGTTCATAAAGTTACGTCCACGGTACGTAGCCATGAGTGAATCTCGCTTTTTCTTTAGTTCCTCAATTGGGATATCCATCGGCCGGCTTATTCGCATCCAAGCATCATGTAGAGATTGTTTATTTTTGTGTCCTACATCCTTCCGATTCCATAACAACGATTCCCTTTGGTAACACTCCTAAAACTCTAATTCGCGTTCGTTAGACCACATTGTGCGATACGTCCTGTCACAACCACAGTCATCGAGCAAGTGATTGAACGAGTGTGTACAGGTCGCTCTCGTTTTACTCGCGAGACCCTTTGACTCGTGCGCAAAAAACCGACAGGCGACCGAGAGAGGCGAGACCGACTGCGAGGAAGCGAGGCGAGACGAGAGCTCTACTGTACACTCTCGCCCTCGGCCTGTCTCGGGGTGTCTCGCCGAGTGTGTACAGCTACCATAAAGTATCCTCGTTATGTGCGCAATTAACAGTTGCTCGTTGATAAAAAAAATATTAGAAAACTACCTTGTCTTATAAATATCATTACACGGCAAAATTGTTAGAAATATTATGTACGGCGTTCAATTAAGTCACTGCCGTACACAATAGTAAACAATTGTTTGTTATATAATTCTGATGATGTGGACGACTCCGTGGTAGTTTAACTCCGTAACAAAAAACTAACATTTAATTGATAAAAATATTCACCAAAAAAAGGTCATAAATTAAAAACAGTACTAGGTATTTAAATATGACATTCATAAGTTAAGCCTTTTATTTCAGAACATCTATGCATCAAAGAGTTGTCGGCGGACTTTGGTGATCTTATTATGTCTCGTCGCTTTTGGCGCGAGCGCACGAAGAATAAACAATGGAGGATCATTAAAATTGTTATTTTGGTTGCATCTCAGTAGCAACGACTTAGATTATTATAGCTACTACAATTAAAGTGTTGTTTTAAAAAAGGTACAGATGTATGGTCAATAATTTGTCTCACACTGGTACATAAATGTATATAAGTATAGCTTACTATTTTAGTAAAGCCTACAGATTATACATTTAGTATGTTTATAAAAGAACATGCAGTCACAAAAAAGCATTTTCGTAAGTACTTTTTCATAAGGCATGCCACCAGGCAGACGAGAATTCTACCCTTATGTTTTCTGTCAATGTGTAAAAAATCATTTAAAATTACTTTTTAAAGTATAGAAAATGGTATTGATACTGTAAAATATGCACAAATTTCAAAATTTATATTCTTATAAATTAAAGTTAAAGTAATTGTGCCTCCTTTCCAAGTCTCTTATCTCCACAATGTCAGTCTTTAGCCTCAACTTTAGTATCTCCCGCCATATTGCTTCCCTGTGTTCTTGGTTTGTTATACCCATACGAAGAAGAGTATTGTCATTAATACGGACTAAAGCTCGACCTGTTATGTCATGCTGAAAAAAAAATAAGATGAACATATTATAGAGCTATTAATTATTACCACTTCTGCTGTCCAAAATTAAGATCTTCATGGTATTTGATTATAAAATTTATAAACATACCTCGTGAAACTTCTCCCAGTACAGGTTATAGTAGTCACTACAATGTCGACGTAGCCATTTCTGCACATCTGCTTCTGTCCAAAGATACACAGCCTTTGGTCGTGCAGTTTTTGTCTAAAAGAAAGAATTTAACTATTCCAAATCTTTTTAAATATGTATTTTCATGTTTTAGCTGGAAACTGGAGATCTGGGTGGATAGGGATGCATCTCTGGGTTTACGCCAATATGTTTTTAGCACTAAGGCTCACTCTGCTAACTCACATAATGTATCAACATATATATCAAAGTATTGAGCTTAACTATTCATACAATTGGTTTGTTATTAGTAAGTTCTTTACTAGACTTAATTCTTTTGACAAATAACTCATCTATAGTTAAAAATATTGTTTTATAAATGAATAGCCACCGACGGAAAGATTGAATAACGTACCTTAGATTTATTAGAATTTAAGCTAGTATCTTCCACCATATTTTTAAGCGCTTTATTTTAGCATTTCCGTCAACAAGTTAAGCGAATTATACCGAAAATAGAATTGATTTCTACTATATTTATAATTTAATATTTAAAACTAAAAATTGAATCCAAGTATTGTTTAAACCGAAATTATTTGTATTTGCGTCCAGAATAAATTCAATATGATTGTCAAAAAAGCAAGCATGAAGCAAGATCGCCAATGTAAATTGTAAACTTTAGAGTTTAGAGTTTAGCACGCTGTCGACCGTCGAAACTAATATGACAATGACATATTAATATTTGACAGTCATGACACAATAGCCATACTTCAAAATGAAAGATAAATTTTGAAATAAATCAAAATTCAAACCTGAGACTTGAAACTTGAAAGTAAGCTTGATTTATTTTGTTATTTGAAAGAAGTAATTACACTTTATTCTTAAATTTCCACTTATTTTAGTCAAATATAGTGAAAAAGAGAAATCGCAAAATCATGGCACAGAATTTGCAAAAGAAGCCGTCAAAGGGTATCTTAAAAACATCTCGTAGCGTAGATGGGCAGGATGGAATGCCTTCTACAAGTAAACGACCGAAGGAGCAGAGATTCGATGAAATGAATATAATGGAAACATTTCATCCTCCAAATAAGGATTATGGCCATATGAAAGTGGATGAACCTAAAACTCCATACTCAGAAGCCATGGATAGCGATATGGAAACTCATGACGAATTGGATGCTAATATTTTGGCAGCTAAGTTAGCGGCAAGTATGAATAAACCACCTAAATGTGTAGAAATGAGCGATAATGAAGAAGACGAGCCAGAGGATGTACGACAGCGAAGATTAGAATTCGAAAAGAAGAGAAAAACGCACTACAACGAGTTCCAGGTATAAAAAGAATTACGTATTCGCTATTGCATGATAATAACAATTTAGGTTTTGAATGGCTCCCACACACATATATCAATATATACATTGGTTCACTCATAGCATGATGCAGCTTTACAAATTTGATAACTCAACACATAACCACAAATATTATCTACATGTTTATGATTAAAATTTGTGAAATTAGTGATTACATCTGGATGTAATTATTATATGTGCAATTTCTATATTAACTATAAACAATATATATATATATAGATTTTAAAAATTAATGTATTACCATTTTGGTGAATATTATTTATCATAGTTTGAGGTTATTTAAAGATTTCTATCAAGATGTTTTAAAAAAAATCTATGATAAATGATAATAACTGAACTTGCAGATCTATTTATGAGATTAGTAGAAATTCCTTAATATGATTAGTCTACTGGTTTTTGTTTTGACAATACTGGATTATCTATAATGTTGTATTAGTTCAATACAACATAACAAAAATGTTAACATAATAGTACAATTAAGCTATTATAAATTTTCTAAATCTGACTAGCTAATATTATAATTCCAGGCATTACAGCTGGCAAGACAGTTATTGGCACAAGAAGAAGAAGATGATGCGGAGAGAGATCAGGCTACAAGCACCTGACTGCAGTCACATACCATTTATACCGTAAAACTTATTGCTTCCTGAGCTTTAACTTTAAATTTGTCTTCTGAACAGCTTGGAAAATATACCTTTCAATTTCAAAGTTAGATGCTTGAAATTAGTTCCTAATTTATTTATTGCTTCAGTTACTCTATTGTGATGAACATTATTTAAGGTAAATTAGATTAGTTAAACTAGTTTTCTCCCTGTTATCACCTTCAGTAAAGTTTTTGAAGTTATACTTCTTTTGGCGCGTTATGAAAAATGTATGAGAGTGAAATTATACGATGTGTGCGCACCGTGACACAAAATTAACAGAATGAAGTTGCCCACGGAAGATGCTACGGCATTGGACATAATTTAAAAACAACATTCGAATAATAATAGAATTTTTGTTACACTTAATGTAAGAGAATAATAATAAATATTTATTTATTTAATTTTTCAAATGTAAACTTAACTTTATTGACTATAAGGACTCCTTTTCCAGTTGTTGATTATTTAATTGTTATTAACTATTTGCATGCAATCAAAAACTATTTTTAATAATGCCAAAGAAGTATAACTTCTTACGTGCGTACATAAGTACACGCACCCTTTTTTTGGTTATGCAATGATAACACTTTTTAAAATGCATTTGAATTGGCAATAATAAGGTGCAGAAAAATAAACTATATGAGATTAGATTAGCAATAACTTTAATGTTTTCTTTTTTGTCTATTTTTACTTCCTACACAGTACATAATATATAGCTCAGTTACTTAAGTCTTAGGATTGTATCCTAGAACAAAATTGGAAAACAAGAAACATACAAACATCAAACTAAAATCATACAAATGTTGTACATTTCTGAAAAAAAGTTTTTTGAAAATTATAATCTAATTGGTATATGTCATTCTTTAATCTGTAATTCTTGTTTCAGGGTTATTTCAGCGTTTATTAGGTGAAGTGGAAAATAATTTATATTTTGTTCCTGATTAGGTTGTTAAATTAATATGTACCTAAACACTTTTTGGGTCATTATTTAAAATATACTTAGGTTTAAAATAGCAGTGAGTACTGCACCATTTTCTTTAATATTTGTTTATGAATAATTTGTCCTCTTTACTGCTAAATTGAAAATCATCGCACAATATAATATGTGTTTACAATTTTTAACACAAGAAATGGTTATAAAAATGTATTTTTCAATAAGTATTTAGCATCTGTGTGTTTCATAGATTAATATTGTGCTATTTTCATATTTCAATTAGGCTTCCAGCAAATTAGGATTGTAAATAATAATTGCTATAATTTGTTTGAGTGGGCACAGGAGGCTAAAAATGAAATTTTGCTTTTCAAGCTCTAGTCATCTGAGTATAGTAAATAAAAAACAGAGCATTCTGTCATTATATGTGCACACTTTCGATTAAAATACTGTAGTACATCAACAGAATATAGTAATTGTTTAAAAAGTAATAAGACATTTTATTGTAAATTAGACGGCAAAAAATTCTCTATGAGTTACATTTATTGATGCAGGAATAATTGCCTGTAAATCTTGTAGTAACGTCAACTCAGTCCTACTTGTTGAACTAAAAGTAGATTTTTCTGTAGAAAGTTAATTTAAAAGTTTTTATGCTCTTGAAAGTAACCTGCAAGTTAAAGCTGTAAGTTCTATAGGAAATATATAATATTTTGAATAAATTACTTGGGCATCAATTAATAAATTATAAGTTACATAGGAGATTCAAAATGACAATGTAAGAATTTAATATAGAAATACATCTTGTTTACATAATATCTACATAAAAAGTCATGCCATACAACAAGATTATTTTTGTATAGAGTATAAGGCAGTTGGGGAAATGTGCCAATATTAATAAAATTATGTGTACATAGTAATGTTATCTTCACTATTTTGTTCCAGGCATATTAAGCTTTGGTTTGACAAAAATAATATAGTAAATAAAATACAAAATTTATTTTTGTACAATGAAATGTTTACCAATTGGTAAAAAAATAATTTGTGGTTAAATTTTGTTGTAGATTTAATCTATTGGATAAGTCCTATAAAGACTTTATTGTCACTTGGTACTTGCAGTACTTTATAATGAATACTTGTTAAGCCTGAGTTTTATAAAAATATAATTAATGCTTAAATTATTACTTTCATATGAAATCAAGATAAAACCAACATTAAATTTGTTTTTTTTTGATTATTTGAGCCTTGCTTGTTGCTGTTTAACAATATGGGTAAGTCAAATTTTTGTGACTAAATGACCTAAAGTATAACTAGCCTTATTTGCTTCTTAGAGTTGAATCATACAAAGAGTATTGTAATATTTTAAAGATGACTAAATATTATAATTATGTAAATAACAATAAATTACATACTTTAATAATAGGTTGTTTGATTTGTTAAATGAAAATCAGTTAGTAGGTATATTCGACTAAAGGACTTGCATAAAATATTGATGGTCATGTTTATTTATAGCTAGAACGAAGTACGCTCTTTTCTTGAAGGACCCTAAGTCGAATTGGTTCGGAAATAACAAATAACATAATGATTAGTGTGCACTAATTCGCCGCTCGCCATTTGTTTTGACACCGTGTTAAAAGATTGGTGCTAACATTATTATATTGTATTTTTTTTTGTGTTAATAAATAATATAAATCTGTGGTGAAATTATTTATTTCCTCGTGTAGTTTTATACTCTTGGGTGACATATGATGTATTCCTGCAGATTGTGGAAAGCGGCAACATTTTATTTACGTCAATGGCGTTGTTGTGTTTGTGTTTTGTGTTGGTTTTAAATAAATTGTTTGAAAAAAACGTCGCCTTGACAACGGAATTAAATTTTTTTAAAAACGAATTTCATCATGGATTTAGTATGAATTGCCTGAATAATGGATGAAACTGAAAAAAATCTACCTCATACATCCGATATTCACGTAAGTTTCTCAACTTTTAAAGCTTAGGAAATTTGAAATAATTACAGATTTTGATTTATTTTCTTACAATGTGTGTTTGTGATTTCAAACTGGACACAAATAAAATATGTAATTTATTTGTAGTTCATGTCCGACTGCGATAACTTTTATAGTCACGAATTTTTGGTACGAATAATTTATTAGTTTGTGTATTTTTAGAATGTCCTTCCGGATGTCGTTCATTCTAAACAGATCGCTACTTTGGAGAGTGAAGATAAAGTAACTGAAATAAATAGGGAAGACATAATTCAGGTATCGCAATTAAACTCGACAGATTTGGATTATGTTAGTGAAGCGGAATCTATTTCAGAGCAAATTCCTTCTAATGTTGAAGATTCCGTTTCTGAGTCTGATGTGGGGCAGTCACAATCTCGCGATTTCCTTAGAGTACCTACTGATCATGAACAAAAAAATGCCTCTCCTCATTTACAAATTTCAAATTCTCCTAGCATTAGTCCCAGTGCTCAACAGCAAAAACAAACTACATCATGGCACTATGATACAGAATATTCTGATTTTCACATAAGCAATGAAAGCCCAGTAAATCTGCCATTGTCGTCTGATACATCAAAAGAATTACATAGAGAAAAATCAGACTCTAACTCATATGAAATAGAATCTCCAAAAAGTTTCTCAGACTCATTAAATGATAATGTAAAACTGAAAACCAACTCAAAAAGCAGTGCAGGGAATTCAAGTACCAGTATTAAAACTGGAGCTGACATGAGTTTAAGTTCTGAGGATGTTATAAAGCTAGATATAAGAGGAAAAGGTGCTCCAAGATTCCCTTTAGAGTCTGCTAAAATAATATTTGGCCCTCCACCTGATTGTGCAACTATTATTAGCTCTGAGTCGTGTACTATTTTTCCTGTATTAACACCATTAACTACAGAAGCAATCAAAATAAAAGAAATATTTGACTCTGAACTTGGCAACACTTCTGCGGGAGTTATTGTAGAAGAAATTTCAAATCAAGCATCTAAGGAAACATCTCCGGATAAATCTTTAGTGAGCGATACCAGTGAGAAAGAACAAGATGTGTTGATTGAAGAAGTGACTATTGATTATGTTAAAGAAAAAAAGGATGACCAGCCGAAATCTTTTATACCTGATGAGACTATGTCTTTTAGCACTATGACAACTGACTACAAAACAATCTGTGAAGAATATACTGTGAAGGTATTATTTGCATGTGTGTTGTGTTTTTGTGCGTGTTTAATTTGTGTCTTGTTTGTGTGTTGCATATTAATTCTACTGCTTATACCCATTGCATGTGTCATTATTGTTTTGCACTTCAACATTTTTAAATGTGCAGATAATTTTGTTTACTGTCATTCTGAATAAATGTTTGGTTGTTAATTTTTTTGTTTTGTTTTAAAGTATGGGAATTAGTGGCTAAAAAAAGTTTTTATTAAAATTCACAAAAGTTCTTTGGTATTTTTTGTTTAAATGAATGTACTCTATTTAAATTTTTATTTACAATTATCAATATAATTTTTTATGTTTAGTTTACAGCATTCTCTTGATGTTTACAAGCTTTTCATATATCCTTTCAGCTTGTGCATTTGGAAGAAGCTATAAACCAACGAGAACAGCTTATTGCAGAATTGACAATCTCATTGCAGCAATCAGACAATGAACGCGAACACCTTAAACATGAAAATATGCATCTCTGCTCTGAAGTGCAGACACTGCAACATGCTGTTGCAGAACACTCACAATCTGACCATGATACAATTAAAGGCCAACTTTCAGATTTCGTGAAGTATCAAAGTATGCTTAAGGATGACAGTACTAGATTTTACTCTGCTGTTATGAGTGGGACGACATCTCTACAAAGCTCAAATGGCGAAAAGGACATGGACCGCGAGGAAATAACAGTCAATCACTCTAAGTCAGATTTAAAGTCCGGTTCAGGATCCGAAGACTTTCAAACTGGCTTTGAAAATAAGTTGTCCATATTGCTCAATAAATTTGGTGGTTTTATAGAAGATAATTTAAGAAACAAATTGAGGGAAAGCTTGATATCAGTGCTATGTGATGAAATTGGAAAAATGCGGTTAGAGTTTGAGACGGACGTGAGAGAGTTAGAGAGTCAAATGAAGCAGAATGAACAAGAATATACCTCGGAAACTCGACGCCTTAGAGATCTGCTATCTTCCGTAAAAGCCGGCAATGCAAATATAGATGAACTAAGGAAGGAGTATGAGAAAGAAATGCAAGATTTACGAACTTTTTTTGAAGAGAAATGTTCTGATATAAAACGGAGGTAAGAAATAATAATTATTAAAGCATTTGTTTCTTTTTTAAAGTCTAGATTTATCAATAATAAATATTCTTTTTAATCCTGCAAGGACTGAGGGGTAAGTGCAATGGTTTTTAAAGAATTTATTATTTATTTAATTTTGATCACCTATTAAATTTATAATATTCTATAATAATAAGGGTTGGTGAGTCTACAACTAACTTATTATATACGTAAATTTTTCTTTATTATACACAAGATACTCTTTCAAGTAAAACTTCATTAAAAGATTTACTCTCATATATTACATGATTTCCATGTAAAGGTTTCGGTGAATAATTTCCAGCTATTCAGAAGAAGTTTGGCGCGATCGTGCCTACGTGTCTGCGGGATCCTCGGAGGATGAGATCGGGGCGGGAGACGCGAGAAGACGAACACGCTCCGCTGAGCTTCCATCGTCACGCATTGAGGTATTACATGATAAAAACTTTTATATGAATTAAGTTTTATCTCTAAGATCAGTCTTTGAAAAGTTTTTTTAAACATACACAAATAGTTTGAAATCGTAATTTTGGGTATGAAACATTATAATAATTATTTTAAGAGCCTCTAACAATAATAATCAGCGGTCGTTCTGTTGAACTCATTTTCTTATAACTTTGTCATAATATTACATAATAATGGCTTTAGGAATGGATAAAAGTTGTCTTCAATGTACAAGTATCTACTATAATTTTAAGTTAAAACTTTAATTCTTCGATATCATTTCAGACATCGACACCAGTAGAATTGACACAACGACAAACGAACAAAAAGCTCGAACAACAGTTAGAAGAGTTGAAAACTGAACACTTGCAGTATATTAATGAACTGCAAATGAGGCATAAAGAGGAAATTGCGTCTTTAGAAGAACAGGTATATTATATATAATAAATATTATTAGTATGAAATTGTATCGGAAATTTGATGCTTAATTTTGTTTAATGAGTACTGCGAAGATCGTAGATAGTTATTTTCTATGATTATCATGACCATCAAAAACTTTGTCCACTGTGAAATACACCTTAACGCTAAGAATTAACCATGACAATTCAAAATAATTATGTATCCTTTCGACGTACTCAGCCGAATATTTGACATAACTTTTAAAAAGTTAAAAGTTTATAGTGTTATAATATTTTTAGTTGAAATTTGGCCTTACATAAGCTTAAGATAAATAAATGAGTAAAAGATGCCGTCAATGATAGAAAAGAAAATATCTTTGCAGCTACAAAATAACGCCTTTGAATTTCTAATAATCTTTTCAGTTACGTTATCATATGATATTAAAATAATTTTCTTCACCCAGATAACCCATTTGAAGGCTCACATACAGACAGCAGAGAATACGGAAGGGAACTTTTCATTCCAACAGGATATCGACTCGGAACTAGAAAAGGTATTCAATAAAATATAACGTAGGAATGTGACCTCGAGACTATTTAGTTAATTTTTTGTGTTCAATGTCACATACATTTATACCAATGTAGGTGCTTATGTGACGATGCTTTAATAAATCACAAAGTATTTCGTATTCGTCCTTTAGTACGTTAGTGGCTTCAATCCCTGAGAAAAGATAATGGTTTTGGGTAAACGAATTATTAATAAAATAGATGATGTCTAGTCCTATTACTGTATTTGTAGGATTACGAAGCTTTAATCGACTTCATTAAAATATTAAAGAATTTCAAATATTTAATACCATTCTGTGATCCTACTTTAGATAAAATTATAGATATTCTGGTAACATTGGCATTGAATGGGATGGCACGAAAAACAGCCCAAATGAATTGATTAAATAGTTTCGTGGACACAATGTGTGTAGTGACACTAGCTGCATTACCATTATTAACAAAAAGATGGGCGATCTGAGCTAAATATCGGTGGACTGGTTAGTTTGCATGAATATCTCTTTCAGGCTGTTCTCACAGAAGCCATAATTTTAATTCTCATCCACATTTTACATAGACTTTTCATTATTATCAGAAATCATTTAAATTTGAAGTTATTATTGACGCTCCATCGCCCTTCTTTTAAGAAATCGTTTTTCCATTTTAAAAAATTAATTTCTTTATAACAAATAATATGTCGATGTTGTTTTGTTTTGTGAAATTTAATTAAAGTGTTAATGGAAAGTTCTAGAGTACTTGCACACGATGTATTTAATGATGATGATAGATGAATCAAAATTTATGGCCTTCTACATTTGTAAATACCACTTGACATACAGGGAATCGATATAATTTATCTTTATTTCCATTCCGTCTTATTAATTGAAGGTTATTGTATTACCACCGGTATGTGTATTTGGATAACTCATGCATGTACGTACTAACCGCTCGCATCGCAGGGTCACATCGAAAAGATTCGCGAAGAAATATTTCACCAGCTGCAAGACCAGCTGCAGGTATGTACCTTCTTTTATTCTAAAACACATATCTTAGAAATTTTCATACATGTTGTTCCACCGGATCGAAGGACCATTAATTCATTATTCAGTCAATTTTATATAGAGACGGTGAAGGGACGTTTACTGCCTTTATTCAAATATTTACGTTTACTTCCATAAACGTTGTTTACACGATTTAATAATGCATAATAATAATTTAATGACAATCTAGTACCCGCTGTAAAATCACAATAAAGACAAAAATCTCCGATTTGATTTATCATATACGAACAAACAAGACATGCTGAAATTCGTGGTGAATGGCTGTAAAACAACAAAATGACAAACCAAAACGTACACACTTTCGGCAATTTCTTAAGTACCCGCAAAAAAATATTTATTTTCAATTACTTGCTTTTAATGAGTCATGTGGTCCTCACAAGAATGAGTGTGGATACATAGTGTATGGAATTCTGTAGCCGTAGTAGTAGTATGTCTGAGTTTACTTTATTTATTTTTTGGATGTTTTCCACATCATTTGGTTTCTTATCGGCTTTGATATTAACTACAGAAAGGCGTTAGCGTTGGAGTCTATAGAATTTTAGCAATAAATGTTTGGCCCCAAAGTAAAGAATTTCATTAATTCAAGTCGGACGTATATATTCATTGTTTTGTTCTTCAGGCTAACTAGAATTTTCAATGTTTGTTTCAATAGCAAAGTTTTATAATTTTGTCCTACTTAAAAATAATGTCACAGATCAACAAACCAGGAAATATTAAGTGTTGCCAAATGCATTGGGGTCGCGTACGCTAATTCGCACGTCTCCACACAGAAGGCATATTACAATCGAAATTGTTTATTTTTCTAACTGTTGAGGTTTATTTAATAATAACGTTGTGTGTATAAAACATATCATGTTGGACGTATTATGATGTATAGTTTACACGTAGTAATGCATCGTGAATAATGCCATGTGGGAACATATAATCTGTGTTTTATATATCTTTAAATGGTGTGTGCCATAAATCGATGTTAAGTAATCACATAAACACACTAAATGCATTGACTGTCGTGATAAATCACGTAAATAAGGTTTTAATTATCTTACACAATGTTTTTCAATAAAAAAGAGGTCTCGAAGGGATACCTGCAAATAAATTCAAGGAAAGTTGACTATGTTTATATTATTACCTGGTATTTAAAAATCTTGTTCGTCTAGGAGCAGCCAATGCTGGCTAATCGCCAATGGTAAAAGGTACCATTAATAAAATCGAGGTTCGTACTTCGGCTCAAATGGAGCAAGGTCCATAGTTGTTGTGACGATTTCGACATGTACACAACTTTTCCGCGCTTTTAATTTTGAGGTTATAAAGTGAAAGTGATTCTAAACTATAAGGGTCGGAATATATTAAAAACTGTATATATAGTGAATTTAAAATAATGTGAAATGCCAGATCGTAACCATCTCGCCCGGCGCGTAAGTAATCTCATAATATTCCCGAAACAGATAAACTGCTTCCTCTCTTGAGGTCTACAATCGCCACAACAAGAGACCCATAAATAGCACATTTTCACTTTATTTTAGGAGTTCAAGTTTGTGGAAATCTATAGTTAGATTTCAAGTCATCGTTTAAAGCGACGGCGGCTTTAGTTGGCTCATCGCCAAATTAAGTGACATTTTTCGCGCGAATGACCCGGTTTTTGACCACGCCGTCTCGCCCTAGTGTTTTTGTTATTCGTATATTTATTTTAATACATTTTATTACCCATTGTGGTACAATATTATATGATAAAATGACCGCTGGTAGTAAACTGCTAAACATAGTGTTGGTGAATGTCTTTTAACGATTTCTATATTATATAAATAATAAAATGCATAATACGAGTATATTGGTAAGCGTTAGAGACGAAGACGGCTGGTCCAAATCAAGTTTTTTTATTTATGTATTCCTTGAACGCAAAGGTTATTACGGTTAAAACATTGGAAAAATTGCATCAGTTTTATTTTTCTGTAATTGTAAACCAGGGTAAAGGTTTAGGGGTTACGATTGCCCATGAAAAGCCGGCGCGGGTCGCTGGTAAAGTAATATAAATAAATCAACCCTTTTAGGTCTGGGCCTCAGATTTTTGTTTATGTTCCATGATTGTCAATGTCATAGGCAAGTAAGTGATCAGCCTCCTGTGCCTGACGTACGCCGTCGACTTTTTGTCTAAAGCAAGCCGGTTTCCTCACGATGTTTTCCTTCGCCGTTCGAGCGATTGTTGAATGGACACATAGAAAGAAAGTCCATTGGTGCACAACCGGGGATCGAACCCATGACCTCACACTGTGGGATGAGATTCGCATACTGTAGCCACTAGACCAACATTGCTCTTTTTAATAAAAATTATTAAACTTAAAACGTCCGTCAAATTGTGTTTAAGAAACAAATGAGTACTTCAGTTAGAATTCTACAACTGCCATGACTTAAATTTTTTCTACGCGTTGAATCTCGAGTTTAAGAAATTTTGACGAGCTTTATTACTTGCAGATATCAGAGATATTTACGTTAATGTTTGCGAAATTACTGTTACACTTGTATGACGTTTTATCTAGATTATATAAATTATATGTTTTTTTTTGTTGCTTTCAGTAAACTAAAGAAAACAGTTTCTTTGATTAATAATACATTTAACAATGAAAGCTTCAAATCCTTCTATTGATAAATAACGTACGACAGTGTTTAATTGAAAATTTCAACTAATTGCCGACTAATTAGGGGTAAATCAAATATAATAATTAGTTGCCAGTATATTTCTATAGTGTAATGAGTTTGTTTTTACAATCAGTTCACGATAAGCGCGGGTCAGCTGGTGGACCTCAGTGCTCCGTTTAATTTGTCTTGTATTGTGAATTAAAATGAGTGTGAGTGTATAATATAATAAATATTTGTGTTACATTTGTTTAATACGCTTTTTAAACCTGGCTGGAAATTGTGTTTTTCCTTATAATCGTTTTTTATTGAAAATCGAATCGAACTTAAAACATTATGTATGCTGTTTAACAGGTGCTGCTATCGGACCCAGACGCGGATTTGACCAGTTGGCCATTGGAGCTGGTGGTCCTGAGGGACAAGATTCATGCTGATAAAACACAAGAGAATGAGGTATTTGTAATGATATATATATAGAACACATCATATTTAAATTAACTTTCATAACTTCTTTTAAAAATGCCTCTATATTACTCTTAGTACCGTCCGTTATAAAATAAGTCAGACAGCCTATAGGTTTTTATTGTTAATATGAGCTCTCGTGAATTATTATGATCTTTATTACTTTGCATTAAGGTTCACTTTATTATGTACAAAAATTATTTGTAATGTTAGTGCTGAAACATCTGATAAAATCTTTTGTTCCTTACTATTAGAAGCTAAACCTTTAAAGAAAAAACTTTTTAACCGGATTAAAGTTATGTATTATTATAAATTTACAATGATTTAACATAATTTTAAATTTATCCGACGTTTCGCGTGCTTTACAGCGTGCGTGGTCACGGTGACATTAAGAGCCAAGCCTGTACATTTCACTTAGGCTTTCTTAGTTTTATAACCGTGGAGATTTCCTAAATAGTCGGAGTTACGCCCCAAGAGTATAGCCAGACGTCGGCACTCTCTTCAACGGTTACATTGCATTCATTCGTTACATAGCAATTAACATTTCATTTTTGGTGTACACGAGATGTAATATAGAGTAACACTAAATCCTCGATTTCTTTAACGCACCCAGATGACCCAGGAACCGTAAATACATAAACCTTCCTCAAGAAAGATTTTAGAATTTTGTAAGCACGAATTGAGCTTGAATCTCAACAACTTCTCTCTGGAACTCGATAATTCTACTGCGTATTGTGTTTTCCTGACTTGCTTTGCCAAGCCGACTACAAAAAAGTATTTTCATATTTAGAATATATCCTATGAATCACAATTAACGTAGCTTTCTATGAAATTCTGTTCAGTAGATCCAGAGATTACCGCCTACAACTTTACATCTTTATAATACAGTCAAAATCTGTTATAACGACATCGAACTTACTACTGATATTTTATCGTTAAAATCGTTAGTCGATGACGTTGTTATTAAGAACCTAATACATGAATTCAGCCGGGGCTTTTGATTTTGGTCAATATAACCGGTGTGTTGTTCTAAACCATGTCGTCGTAAACGGTTTCAGTATTAGTATAGATTTAACGTTAACTAAATTATATGTTTATTACTTGTAGTTATAATAAACGAGTGAGACTGACTCTGAGTATGCCTTTAGCAAAAAAAATCAATATTTTAGGTGTCTAGTTAAATTTAAAGCAGTTTCTGGTAATAGGGTTAAATTAGTCGCGTATCATGGATTTATGGTTAGAGCGAATCATACGAGTCACGCGTCGAGAATGCGAGGGTGGCCTTTATTTATAGACTACCCTCTATATTAGATCTTGTTGGTTGCCGTGTCGAATTAGCCTGTTTTATTGGTTTGCAGCACAGTGTAAATTTTAGTAGGTCTAAAATAATCGCTGTATGATGCTGAATATATTTATTATCTTTTATTAGATTATCATAAACTGTAAATCGTATTCAACGAAGAGAGTTTCGTATCGTCAATGACCAGTCACTTTCTGTGCAGCTTGATCCCTTGGCGTTGAGTAGAGACTCTGCATCTCAGAGAATGTTCAGAGTAGTTGTTCGAACAACCTGCAGTTGAGTTTCATAATCAGACGTTAAGGCAGAATACGAAATACCATCCGTATCACCTCAACGTCCGTCGTTCCACGACTTGAGCGTTTCTTAAGGCAGGTCGCGCACCACCACTGCAGCAGGTCCTCCTGCCGCAGCTAAATATCGCTTAAATAATGAAATATACTGATGATTTCGTTTCAATTACTCGCATGTTTTATCCTCAAAACTGTACACTAAGAGAGCCGCTGGACAGAAACTGGTGGAAACAGATTGTCCGCTCCAAATGTTTCCTTGCTGACCATGACGTTCAGACATGAGCCACCGAAGAGAGAGAGAATCTATGTGTGTTCTATGACCATGTATTTAATTAAAATACCGAGCGTTTTTTCCAACAATCTTACTCCATTTCTATGGCTGTATGTTCCATCATTTGATCGCTATTTGTTTTGTGGCGCTACCACAGCCGTGACTGACGCGTCGTTGATTGAAGCCAGTCGATTGACGGAGAGGTTCCAAGGAAATCAGATGATTGGAATTTTTATGTAGAAACGTATTATCAGTGTTATTCTGTAACTATCAATAGCGATTCCAATGATGAAAATAAGTATCGTGGTTTTGTATATTTGAAAGCCTTAAATAGACATACACATACACTATACATAGATTTAGACATTTTTATTTTTATTCGAATACTATATTTACAATACAAATTATTTGAAAAATGAGGGTGTGCAATTATTTAATAAATTACCGTCTAAAATTCGCAATATTAGCGTGTTTAACCAATTCAAAAGGGCATTAAAGAGATATTATCAGATTGAGCCTAGTAGACTAAAATTAGGATGGCTGTCTGATGGCGACGTGTATCTCGTTCGGGTACTTACGTATTAACGCCACCGCGGCAAAAATTCTGTTTGGTTAGGTTAGGTAAGTATATTGATATTTATTATTCTAAAACTTTATTTAAATAAAATATTAATATGCTAACCAAACAATAATCAGTATCATCAAATTCGGGCGACGGATTTCTAAATCGTTACCAAAATTTTGCCGCGGTGGCGTTAATACGTAAGTACCCTCGTTCGTATATACTAAGATTCATAAAAAAATAAAGTTCATTAAACATTATATTTAAGGTGACATGATTTAGGACATGATCTCCGACAGAGTCTTGTCTCTTATCTTCACAACTATTTTTCAATATTTCCCTGCTATCACTTGTATTTCATTTTTCTTCCCATCTTCATTTGTCTTTCATATTTCCATTCCAAGTAACTACCTTTTTGACTTAATAATAATAAATCCACTTTAATTCCATACGTTTACAATAAAATTTACAATTCAAATGGATGTTAGTTTTGTTATTATACATACAGTCTAGGTAGTTATTGTAAATTTTTCTTATTTCGTGTCTTGTATGGACCTCTTTTGGGTCTCCTGAACTTTCCATTTAGATCTGTTTTTTGGTTTCTTCCATCCATTTCTCTCGAGAATTTATTATAATATCGTCAGCCAATGAAACAATAATTAATGTTATTTATTAGGCTATTTATTAGAAATCTCAGACACCCCGAACATTCAAATCGGTCCACAGACGGTAAATTTCCTCCGATTTCACTATTTAACCGTCCTTTTTTAATATACATTAAAAAATCTTCCGTTTACATTGTAGTTATATTCCAAGAACATCAAATGATATAAACACGTATCATTGAAGAAGGAAGTGTGTAATACGCTAATTCAGTTAAATTGTACTGATAACGGCGTACGGTAACGGCGGACCAGATGCATTTGTTACATTAGGATACTCGAGATATCACGGGTCGTTTATTGAATGGAAAATGTACTGTTGTGCGCTAAAGGCACTTGAGAGATATTAACAATTATATTATTAATATGATTTCTTATTGATGTTTACAACTTTGTTTAAATTATATATTTAATTACGCTCGTAATTACTAACACTGCTTAGTATTGGCCTCATAAGTTAATCGTGCTACGCCCAATCATGAGTTTGTCCAAGACCGTGCAGTGTGCACAAACCCAAAAGCATTTAATCTACACATTTTATTAAAAAGATCCAGTCAAAATATAACTGTGACATGGAAGCCAAGTTCAATATTATATAAATAACGTCCGAAAGAAGAAATAGGGTCTAGGTAATAAATTACAACTGTTGAATTATTTTAAAAAAGAACTAAGAATAAGTTGTTAAAAATTTGTCCATTCATTAAGTCTTATCAGGGTTATAAGAAATGATGATCTAATATTGTGCGCAAGCGACCGCGTAAGTTGTTCATTTCAATTGATTCTAACTATCAATTGCTGTAAAATTTCGATCGTTACTGCATATAAATGAAGCAGAAAATTATTAAAAAAAATATAAACTTTACAATCTTACATTTCAATTCTACTGTTTGATAGGAGAAAAGTTAGAAAATTCTGCTTATGTTACGTAAAACATACAAACTAACACGTCGAATTGATAGCCTCCTCCTTCGGTTATTTTTCAGTCGGTTAAAACTACGCGCTTACAGTTTTAAACATACGCCGTTTGGAATACCATTGCCTCACACGTCAATGTAAATGTTTTAATAATTTCATACGAAAGATAATTTATCCCGTATACCCCATATAAGTAACCAGAGGAGGCCAAAACACATTACGTACGCAACTGTACACGGTGTGTGCAAGCCTAATTGATATTTACGTAACAAATTAGATTTCGGTTGAAGACCTTTTAGTTGCACTTATCAGACTGGACCACCTACTGCAACTTAAATTTTAATAACAGTAATATAAATTAAAATATAAATTAGGTTCTCGGTTTCTTTTTTTTAATAGCCGAACAAGCCTACACAATAGCCCGTAATAAAAGGCATAACCGAAGCCTATGGACACATTAGTGGCAGTTTTTGCCACGCACCACTATGTGGAACCAGCTGCCCATTGTAGCATATTTAACCAATTCGACTTAGGGTTCTTCAAGAAAAGACCGTACCAATTCTTACAAGTCCGGCAACACACTCGCGAGCCCTCTGGCAAGAAATCTATACATTATCTCTCTATGAACGAAAATATTTCCAAGAAGACGTGAGTTTGCAGTTTAATGCAACGCTTCCTTCCAGACGCTTCCGCATTTTAATGTTAAAGCAACTATTATGTTACTGGAATAATGTCTATTTTGATATTTTATAGAATTTCCATCATCCTGAAAGCCTAGTCTAGTCATATAGTAGTAGCTTTTAATGAAATTGTAAGTTTGAAAGCTATTTGTGTTGCCATTTAAAGCATGATTAAAACTTTCAATGGAGGAGAGGTTTAATGGTTAATGATTTAAAAAAAAAACTACAAAATTAGTTTTTAGTTTGAAGAAGAAGCTACGTGTTTATGGCGTTCAAAAAAAACTTAAATGTATTTGACTAATGACAGAAAGTTGAGCACGAGAATTTTATATTAT